AAACAATCCCACATAACGAAAAAGTAAAAAAGAAAAAGAAAGAAAAGAAAAAAAAAAAGAAAAGAAAAAGAAAAAGAGAAAAGAGGAAAAAATAGGTAAATTCAATTTGTTAGATCCGCTTCAACCACTGGCGCTCACTGCTAGGGAGGATTCACATGCGAGTGTAAACTTACCACGAGGTGTTCCATCACAGTAGGAGAAAACAAGGTGCCATCCTGCTTCCCCATACGTTGATATAAATGCAACAGCTACAAACTAGGCTAGTATCAGAGTAAATCCCTTGAAATTGTACTAGTCAAGCAAGGTCTGCGATGATTGTGCCTTTACCGTACACATCTTGGACGGATAACAATGCCATTTTCGGATTCAATGCAAATGCTGCTCTCGTCTTGTGCCAACTCGCGTTGGGGTGGCTGTGCTTGCTCGTTTACCGGCTTATGAGTTCTGTATTGCCATTTATTCGTCGCCGTTTTTGTAACCTTTTTTCAACGAACTTTTGTAGCGGTGACCTTTTTTTAAACGAACTTTTGTTATAACGAGAACCTTTTGCGACGAAAAACCTTTTGCAACGAGTAATGGCCCTCCTTTCAACACACATCGGTTTCGAACAAGAACAACTCTGTTCGGCCCGCCTGTGCCGTCCATCCGTCGCATGGACCTTGCACTGTGACAGGCTACTTCTGGCATCGATCGTGGGCCCGCTGGCGTCTGTCCATCCATCTATCTCATCGATCGAGGAGAGACTCTTTGACCAAAAAAAAAAAAGACCCTACACTTGGAGGGGTCAACTAGCACAAACTCTCCTGCCCCTTCTCTGCAGACTATCAGGGACAAAGATGATAAACTAATCAAAAAAAGGTAAGCACTCTTTTTCTTCTTTTGCTTTTCTCTTCTTGCTTCTTTCAGGGGCAAAATTGTACTGGTAATAGCCATTGTTTAAAGTTTCATCGGACTCTGTAGCATCGACGAGACACCCCACACCCCATCGGGAAAACAAGCACTTGTCCCCAAGAAAAGTTCCGAAGAAGCACACGGACCGCTTCGCTCGCAAAAGTTTGTGGTTGCATCGCTCGAGAATTTGAAGGAAAAAGAAGAAGAAAAAACAGACCATTGGTCAGCCTCACCCGAGTTGACTCGGCCGATATGCCCCCTTTTGCACAGAAAAAGGGGCGACTACGGTCACATTGACACCCCCCCCCTTTGGACAAGTAAGTGTACGAGCACAAACTACAGCCATGACATGACGGGCTAACCATGGCGCCCACGGCGTCGTGACCTATTCTGTCCAAAAAAAGAAAAAAGAAAGAGTTTTTAGTTTGCGGGCGTAGTCTTGGCCTGGTCTAGTAAACAAGATCCGGCGCCAATTGGTTCAAAAATCTTTCCAGCTTTCAAAATGGCCGGATTCAGACGAGAGCAACAAACTAATCACAAGTACACACAGACACTTGTCCACTGGTCTAGAAAAAAGGCTGAAACTGCTTTATGACGCGACGCCAAAGGGGGCGTGCTAAAAATCAAAGTTGGAGGCTCTTTATAAGTTGGGCACGTGTACCAAGTAATTATGCCAGCTCATGTTGGATAGATGCATCAGCGCAAACTGGGGACCATCTCGATCCCCATCAATCACCTAGTCATCAACTACATTAGCATTTAAGGCTATTGGTTTTTTGGGCTTTGCGTTTATTGGGCCATCTTGTTGCTTTAGTTGGTCGCCGTGCTGACTTTAGCTCGTCTCACTCCTTTGACAGCCTCTCACGCGAAGAGTAGCCCATCGAGTCCACAGAGCTCCGTCAGATCTCTGAGAGTATGTTAGTCAAGGCTGATCAAGCGCCCTTTTTAGACTAATTTTAATAATATTGATAAGAGATTTTGCTCAAAATAGAAATATTGTACATTAATTTAGTTGATCAATAAAATTTCTTTCATCTTTATTAAAGAATAAAACACATGTCAAGTATTTGCCGTATCTATTGACTATCCTCATTTTTCCTATTTATAAAACTACCATCTATACAATATAATAAATCGAGACCGAGTTGCCACACTGCATAGCTTCGACTGCATCAACTGATAAGCCCCGTTTCTTTTTCGAGACAGGGAAGAGACTACATGCTTTATAGCTGCTCCCAACTTTCGATCAGCTGCCATGCTACTTGCTTCCAGCCCACGTCCAGATCGAACGGCGCACATTCAAGATACGCCTTGATCCATGCGCCATACGGTGCCAATGACTCGATTTGCGAGGTTCCGTATCCATAAGTACCAAGAACATAACAGGCAATAGTCCTGACGAGTCTGACACAGGAAACACAAAGACAGTCTGGACCTTTTAGTCGACCGATTGACCAGTACGGTGTCCCGAGACCGGTGTCCACTTGGTCACCACAGCACGAAGCCAGTGCCAAGACAGAGAGACCGTGAAAGGCACGAGGCATCGAACAAGCGAGCGTATCCCCATTAGCATAGGCCTGTCTGATCCAGGCTATTTGACCATCACTATGAGATCTCCATAGAGCGACAACCGGGGTTAATGCGTGGCAAGATGCCGCATGTCGAGACCTCAGGTATGTTTTTGAGCCAAAGTGAACCATGTCAGAAGCCATGCGACTGAGTACAGTGCGATTGAGGTTCGAGTGAATTGTCGGATCTTGCTCAGCCTCCATGTCCCACCCAGCTTCTCGCAGCAGCGAGTGCGTATTGAGTTTCTTGTACTTTGAATAGAGCAGGCTCACTGGCCTAACTCCTGCATCCAAACCACACAGCTGCCGGTCGTAACCATCAAAGGCGAGCACCGCAAACACTGCCCATTGAGCAGCAGAGGCAGAGCAGTTTAACGCGGCGGCAGAAGCTTGCCACTCTTTGGAATAAGTTCGCACACGACTACTCGTATCCATCTTGTACGGGCAGTCGTCAGGGTGACAATCTCTTTCCAACACAAACGGTGGCAGTGGCGCGACAGGTGCGGCTGTCGCTAGTGGCAGACCATTTTCGAGGTAGATGGAATGCATCTTTTTTATACCTGCGAACAAACCAGTTGCAGATGCCTCGCATACGCGAGGGTTGGTTGTGTACGTTGACAGCAGTTCAGCGAGGGACCTGAGCTCGTAATGCAGAGCGTTTCGATACTCAATGCCTGCTAGGAGAAAGGTCGATAGGCTCGCATCCGGCGCGAGGTTCCCTGATTCCCAGCATTCAGGGCAAATGACTGTTTCAGCGCAACGATAGACTTGATAGCAAGTCTCCTCCTTCGATATGGCATCTTGCTGTATCGGTTTACATCTGACCACAGCTGGCATACCGCAGTGGTAGCACGCCCATCCGAGTGAGATGCAAAGCAGCGTGGTAAAATCGGCAAATTCCTGAGATGAAGGTATGCCAAAGATACCGCCTGAGCGCTCAAGAGCTCTTCCTTTGGCAGCGCTATGCTGGCGCCCAATCAATCGAAAGTTGCCTTGGTCGTCGGGTGGGTAATCGCCGGCGCCAATGGACGGAATCAAATCAGGCTCAAGAAGATATGCTTTATGGTTTGAAGCCAGAAAAGCATCAATGCGATAACCACTTTGTTTAAAAGCACCAACGGCTCCAAGCTGACGAGGATCTGCTTCGGCGGCATATCCGGCAGCAATAGCATGGAAAGATGGACGTGTGTCAACGTCTCGCAACTGACTGAGGCCAGCTTTGCTGTGAGGCTCTGCTAAGAGCGAGGGGCGCACGTCTGCCCAGCAAGTGCGGTGAGTATCGCTATTTTGCATGTCGGTTTATTGATTTGAAATAGTGTCAATCTGTTTCCTGACCGGCGCCTATGTTGCCTGGCTGTCACCTCTCCGTATTAGCGAGTGTAGTAGAGACAAGAATATATAACTGACGAGGATTTGCGGCTCTGATAACTCTGATGAGTATTCTTGAAAGTGGGAGGACTACTATCCATCTTATATGTAGTTTCCATTATCCTGCCTCACGTAATTCTCCCGTCTGCACAACCTTCTAGTCTAGCCGGCTTCGTTGGTTTCTACCACTATCTGTAGATTGGGTATATACGTGGAGACTGTTGCAACTCTCCATCATCATCCGCACTGACAGATGACGCAACCGAGGATTCTGTTTGGCGAAGGTTTCAATGTAGACGTGTGGCGAAGGTAGTAGTTGGCTTAGATGGCTCTAACGCACAGTTGTAACGTCACTACTGGGTTCATGAGCTGGCGGTGCTCGGATGACCAAAATTGCTGTATGATTAACCAAAGAGATCCTCCTAGAAGCTTGGGAGTTCCATTTACTAGGCAAATCTTTCTACTTTCTTGAAAACTTCCACTCAAGGTGGTTGCAATGAATGATGTACGGAGATGGTTTGCCGCATGAGGCTGATTTGAGGACAAAATATGCCGTCAGATTTGGCCAACGTTTACGAGCTTTTCAAATATCAGCAGGTCCTCTCATGACTACGGGAAGAGGTGGGCTCTAATGCATTCATGAACATTCGCGTGACTTTCAAGTTTATACGTGGCTGCCAATCAAGGCAAACAGGTGACTAGATGAGTACATTGACCGCTTAAAGAGCTTCAATATTCGGATTCTAGATACGGAAGAGCAGGTAAACTCTTAGTCCCATCGTCGTTCTCCCGACCAATAGCTAACAGCGGACATGCGTTGGCACAACCTCGAATGTTCTCTAGGGGTATATTACGATGAGTGCGTTCTATCAAACGCATCAGCATGCAAAAAGTAAGCTCCATGAATCAAATTTATTTGTAGTCAAATCAAAGAGACGTGACCGCTTTAGACAGACTAATAGATGTCCGTTCTACCAGCTTTTCCACTTCGTCGATGGAATTTTGTTTCAAAATCTTCATGCGACGTCAACGACCCAAGACGGGGAGGAGTATCGAGTCGTATCCAGACTCGTCGTCTCTGCCCACCCATATGTAATTGTGAGGCGTTAAACGCAGTGTTGTAGGCACTGGTAAGATAATGACGTAAGGTTCTACTTTTCGTAAGCGGCCACCTCGACCAAAGTTGAGGAGCTTCTGCTCCTCTGTGCTGCCCGCTAATACCGTTGTGACGGCTGGCTGGAGACGCTTAAGCCTTGAAATGCTGACCTGGTCGAATCCAGGTAGATGAGGGAGAACGACGAGTTAGTTGGCTATGCCGTTATAACTATGTATCAAGACGGACATACGTTACAACCACGTCGGCTACAGCGTACATGTGAGAAAGTGCCTTGGAAAGTACTTCGCAAGGGCTTACTAATGCGAGTTGTCCTTTGCTTAGGTTTTGACAGGAAGTTTTATTTCTATGACGACTCCGCCATAGAGGTTGGTTTTCGGAAAGACAAAGTCGTCTCAACGGCAAAGGCCCATGAAAGCCAATCTCGATCGCCTTTAAAACTGAAACGATTTCTGTATAGAGATACAATCGAGTACTACCACAGTTTGGGCTTTCAGTCTAGATCTCCAAGGCCAGTGGGCTGTTTCATATCGAAAATGATTTCTCCGAATGGGTTGTTGTGGGATGGCTTCACGTCGGAATGAGCAACACTCTATTAATGACGTTCGGAATCACAATGGGCTTATAAATTCTTGGTCACGAGCCTCTCCATTCCTTCAAATGCGCGCTTGGCAAACGAGCTGTCCGCTGACTAGCGAGTTGACGTGGCTTATGTTTTTGCTTTGTCTGGAGTACTGTCTCGACCTATAACGTGACTTAACGTCAATGCAGTGTACCTCGTAACTCGTAAATGATACCAAAACCAAGCTGAAGCGGAGTTTTTTTTTTTCTTCTTTTACGCAGAGCTATTAGGCAGAGCTTTTCTCGAAGAAACGGTCTAAACACTCCGGCAACAATGTCACTCATTGAATTGGTGACTTGGCAGCACCACGTGTTACCTCGATAATGACACTAATAAGTGGTGTAGAAGCCTAGCTTTCTGTCTTGTTTGTATCTCCTTGCTCGATATAGATATTGATGACGTGTCAGTACGTATAGCGTCACATACAAAAACTACAGTTATTTACTGAAGCGGAGCCAAAGCCAGCAGTTGAGATGCGTCAAGCCATTTAGGTAGATGATTTTTCTAACCGCACACGAGTTCAACTTACTAGTGCATGGTAACGGATGAAGAGCGGACTTCGCCAACTCGATGATGAAATGCAGTCTCCGCGACGTTACAGTAATTGTCGCCCCGTGTTGCATTTCTTCAACTACCACAACATCACCATTCCTAGCTGAAACGGCCAGTAGCTCAAAGAAAATCACTTGCTCCGCGCGTGGTTCATATTCAGTTCCACGTCGCAACATATGCATCAGATGAGGGAGCAGTCCATATGACGCTTTGAAATTGTCCATTTGCTCCCTTCTAGCCTCTACTGCGAAACGCGCCGCCATGTTACTCTGCCGGGCTTCATCTCGTCCGCCCGAGACATGGCATCGTCGAATAAGGGCTCCAGTTCATCTCCTTCCTCCGTTTCCTCGATCTCTGGTGGAATGAAGCCATACATTGCATCGACATAGTCCTCCTCTTTGTCAGATTCCTCTACGTCTTCATTCTCGTCAGATTGGCGTCTTCATCTTCGCCACCGTGAGCTCCATCACTGCCACAACTACCATCCCTATCATTGCCACCATCTTCCCGGTTAGTGCCGCCGCCTCCAACACCAGTAGTAACCTCGTCCACGTTCCCAACGTCGTCATCACTGTCATCATCTCAGCCCGGGTTATGCTCCCCATCAGTACTCTCTTCACTACCAGAAGATACTTTGACGATCAAGAGAACGTCAAAGTCCGCAATGGAGTCATCTTCGGTATCTTGAAAGCCATTGACAGCGCCATACCCAATCTTATTCGAGTCGCCCCCGTCTGTCTACGGAGCAAGAATGGAAACCAGGTCCTCGGGATCGCTGTCACGACCGGCCTTCGAGTCTCTGAGTCTGCATTGCATCCACACCGTAAAGGCTCGAGGCTAACGGTACACCTCTAGGCCATCAACAGCTCTCATGACCCTTTCGTACCTTTGCAGACATTCTGGCTTGCGACTGGTGTTGCCGCGGTATGAAACGCTCACTTGCTTCACCACCCTGCATTCGTTTCTCAAGGCAAGAACAAAGAGCTCCCATTACATGATCATATCATGATATGAGCAAAAAATTAAAAAGAATA